CCCCACAACCAACCCCCCAGTTCAGTTTTTTATTGCGGATTCGGGGTCCTCTAGTGCAGCGCAGCACAGCCCCACCATCAGGAAAAAAAAAAAAAAATCCTGGCCCTGTTTTTGCGTCGCCCGGTTCACCCGGGCGGACCCCCCCGGGCCCAACCGGCCGGGCACGCCCTTCCGGGCGCCGGTGCAGCCTAGCTAATTTCACTTTTCGAATTTTTTGCGGTCCTATCTTTCGTATCGCTAACATGTATGCCAGTGTTGCTCTGAAGTATGCTTCTGCTTGAGATGTTGTTTGCTTATTCGATATAAGACAAATGTCGGAACTGCGTGGTCGCGTCTGTTTTTGGAACTGGTGCATCGGTTATGCTGTCTGCTGTTTGCTCAACATAATGTACACTGTCAGGAAACAATCCCGTGTTGGGGCCTACCTCTACCCTGTGCATTTTCCATCAAACGCTCGGTCCTGTGGCGAGATGTGAGTGTCTTTTTATTTTTAGTTTTTTTCGACTTCTTGGTCGGCATGTGTGACCGACCATAATTGCATGCAGCCCAAGGGTCTCCCGATTGTCGAGAGCGTCCCACACGTTGTTTTGCTCCTGTGGAATGATTTGTTATATGTGGCTGTGCCCTTTTTTGCACCTGCATTGCAGTTCCTTCTTTCAAATTTTTTCCCTTCTTCTTTGTTTTTTTTCTTTTACCGTTTTTGCTGCTCTCCGTGAAATTGCTTGCCGGCGACTGGGTCTCGCTGCATCCCCTGTAGCCTTACCATTTGGCTGTGGGACGTGCCATGATAAAACTCTCACCTGTGTGCCCAGACAGACGACGACAGCCAAGGAGACAATGTCGTCGTCGCCCGGCAATCAAACATGCGTTTTCCATGTTGCCACGGCCTTCTGGCACCCTTCCTCTGTTCAGGTTTGGGACTTTACGTCTAACGCCTGTTGACTGTTCGAAAGTTCCCCTTTTAAAAGCCTGCATTGCGTTTGGTTGGTGTTACCTGCATGCTGACATGACTTGCTCGATCTGGCTTTGTTTTCTTTCTGTTTGCTGAATCGTCCTCCTGTTTGTTCCCTTTCCGGTTTGCGCTCTCGGTGCTGCCTGCCCGAATTGCTGTCTTTCTACTTCGGTTTTACCTCGCCGGTCTGCTCCTGTTTGTGACCCGGCGCTCCGTGCCGTTAATCTGCTGCCTCGAACTCTCTTTCTGAAGGTTGATTTGCCGTCATGGCACAGCCACCTCATTTGGCATCGGTCGGCCGGACAAGGCCTGGCCCGTGGAGAGAAGCTGTCACCCTTCACAGATCTTTTGAGAATTTGCCATCCAGACACCAGCTTTTCTCTCCGTCGCAGAGATTGCGACCTAGGAGGTGGGACCGCCGATTGCCAATCCCTCCCGCACCTCTTCATGTCCCTCCCGTTCCTGYCGTGCGGTCGGATTCCAATCCATCGTCGCCCTGTGTTCCCTATGCCCGTCCTGAGATCCTCTCGGATGGCTCTGGTTTGCACGTGCATTCCGACGGTGCCATTGCTCTAAACTGCCACCCAACTGACCGTCAGCCCCCTCGGGGATACATCGTGCAGCTCTCGCCATCTCAGAATAGTCCCTCTTCCCTCTCGGACCGTTCCTCTGATGGGTTGACTACATCCCCTCCAGTGATTCTCCCTCCTAATTCTGCCTACGACTGTGCCGCGGCCAATTCTTCCGGCTTTCACCCTGACCCTTGCTCCGCGCCCGTTCACTCCGAGACAAATACATGTCCTAGACCATGGAAAACACGAGTAAGACTAAGGAAAGGTCTTGCTCAACAGAGGTCGGGAACGTTGTCCTCGGCTCCTGCCTCGCCTCGTGACTCTGAAACACGAAATTTGCTCCCTGCCGGAATGAGAACCGCTTCGGTGGCCATGATAACTTCTCAGACCAGTCTATGCTTCTCCTTGGACTTCCTTTATGGTGAGTCGGGCGGGCAGCTCGAAGTTCCTTCCCGTCCCCTCTTCTTTTCTTTGCAGCGCCCGGCCACGATTCCGCAAATCCCAGTTCCCGTTCCCACTTCATCCTCATCTTCCCTCCGGGCAGGGCATCTGATATCACCCGAGGGCGGTGTTTCTCTTCCCGGGTCTCTCAGCCGAACACCCGATTCCAGAGTCTTTCCTGGAATAGTCAACAACTCTTTGTCGGGTGCTTCCCCCGATTTGCAGACCCCGTTACACCTGTCAGGTCATCGTGCATACCTTGCCAGCGGCGAAATTGGAAACTCTGGAAGGACACACGTACAAAATTCTGTGGGCCTGTCGCATGCCCCCTCCGTTGGCGGTGTTGCCTCTCCTTCTCCTCCCGGCTGTGGCCCTCTGAATATCAGGGACGTTTCTCTTGGACAACCCCAAATCGTAAACCCTTGCGGTCGGGCCGAACAGCTCTCGTCTTCTCTGCCCCTTCCATGCACATTCCGGTCGCCAGAAGATGCACACGTGCTTTTAAATCCTTCCCCTGCATTGGGTCCTCTCTCACCCGTCGGCTGCGCAACAGCCAGCCGGCCCACTGCAAACGGGCTTCCAGGGTGTCGATTGATCCCATTTCATGCATCCTCGGCTCTCCCAAGGGAGATGCTGCTGTCCCCCGACCCGTTGCCACGGCAAAGTGAAAGTGCATTCGGTAGCATAAACAACCCTCAGTTGATCGCTGCTCAGGATAGCCGGCAAGCGAGGTAGTCCCTCGTGACGATTGTCCGATTGAAACGTCAGGCCCGCCCCCTTCGTCTACCTGCTCGGCGCCTTCCCAGCAGCAGAACGACAGATTGCACTGCACGTGCTGTTGTCTCGTCGGCTGGCAGTTTACCTGTGCGAGTGCAGACACGGAATCCTGTGCCCTTGCAAGACTCTGTCCTGCCGCCCCTCAACTCCCCACGTCCTCTGCCTAACGAAGAGGTGGGTTTACATGTGACTGGTCTACGACATCCGCAGCGTTCACCTCACGTTCTTGCTTCGTGTCTTCCTGATCAACCCACACAGACACTTCAGGAAGGCTTTTCCGCTTCTGCATTGCGTAGGTCGACAAGGGTTGAAATACGACGACGACTTGCGGGCCAGCCGATGGGCCGGCAAAGTCCCAGCGAATGTATGACTCCCGCGTCAGCTGCCCGTATCATGAGAGCACAACGAAGGTAGTCTATGATTCAGAAACGAGTTTCCCGATCTCGTGACGCTGCCCGGGCTTCGCACCCTGTCTGCGGGCCATCCTCGCTAGGGCATTTGGCTCCGGGCCAGCACCCGGACCCAGTGTCGGGACGTTCTTCTGTTCTTTTGCCCATTCATAGGTCTTCCGGTGCTGCACACCGCTCGGTTGCTGCAACACAGCACCGCACGTTAAAAAGACGGCGAACCTGGTGCGCCACCCGTAACCGGGCG